GGGAAAGTGACGGCTATTTCTATGTAACAAAGCTTGCACGTGTACTCTCTTTATCATGATATGGAAGAAGGGAATCGGTCCCACAGTAGAGACGCCCGTTCAGTGACGGAGCAGTTCGGCGGCACTGTGGCTGGTCTTCCTGTGACGGTAAGCGGCGGCGCGGTGACGGTCCGCAGAACAGCTCCGATACAAACAAACATTTAGTCGGGAGGTACTAAAGGATAAGTAAGGCTTAGCACTAAGAGCTCCGTAGAACATAGGCAGCTACATTAAAAAAGCGGTCTTATGCGCCAATAGGAAGAAGTAATGCTGCAAGTGAAATATCCATCCAATACCAATATCTACCTACTTCTGGATTATAAGATGATATACATCTAATCGTGTCAGATCGAATATCAGTCTTCAGTTGCACAGTACCTACATTCAAGGCCTACACTATGCTAAGCTTATATAGGTATCGCAGTGCAGGGTTCTATTTGTAATTCTCACAAAATGACAATCCTGAGATCGTTTGTCAAATGTCAGCCCTTGGGAGTGCGGCTTTATGTATGTAAAGTCATTCTAAGTAACGGAGTCGGCAGTCTGCTGGTCCACACTAAAAAACTGCGGGGGATTCCTGTGAGCATCTGCCGTAGGTGAATCATCAGATATGAAACTTCGGGCCCTGGCGTCGATCAATACCTATCATCTCTGGAAGGCCTTTCCCTCGATGATATCATAGCTGAGGCATATGGTCGACTGGATTCGGAATAGAGCTGGGATCGGTGGAGGCTCGGGGCCCGACTGGTCTGACGGGGACGGGGCCCACAGCAGAGGGGCGGGGGCGGGGCGGACCGATCGCCACTATACTTCCGTGATCAGCTGCCGGGCTGAGTCGCTGCGGCCGCGGAGACGGTCGCACGGTCGCACAGTGGGAGATAATAGTAAAACCGCAGTGGTGGCGTGCTGAGCGGAGCGCAGTTTTGGTGAGACGGTATCGCGGCTCGTTTCCGCTCCGTCTGGTCAGTGCACGGTGACGGACTGACAGACGGCGGGCTGAGGTCAGACAGAGTCCACACCAGCAGCGCGGGACAACTTATTGCCAGAGGACTGCAGGCTCTTTACGGTGATAACAGAAAACACGCGCTTTATGTCGCTGATATTAGAAGAAGCAGCCTGATTTATGCGCCGATTTGTATTTGTTTGAGCAAGGTGCAAGATCAGCATTCCAGAATGAATTACCGACGGCGGCAATTAAAGCCGGCACAGCTGCGCCGATCATCTATCTCAGAAACACATGGCCTGGTCTGCGGTCATTGCCGTCCAGCGGCACTGGCACCGTGTTTACTACTGGCGTTCTGTCGACCGCTGAGACACCGCTGTGCGGCTAATGTCCCGTCGACCTCTGGGGCACCGCTCGCGCTGTCGTGGGTATACGGCCGGTGACCGATCCGCCAGGATGCCCCCGCCAAGGCCAGCCGACCACTGTCTGGGTTCCATGTGCACTGGACACGCCGCGGCTTGCAACGTCATGCACACAGGCAGCGACAAAGCCGCAAAACAAAACAGAGCTAAACGGCGCGGCAGCGGCGCAATATCGTGACAAACAACTTGACGGAACGCCGACTCACCATTAGTTCCGGAGAGGAACAGTTAACTATTAGTTTTGCGTCTTAATGTTAAACAGAATATGATTTTGTTTGTGGCAATAGGAATATTGCTGGCATGAGTATTAATAATAAAGCATGTGTCACCATCACAACTGCTTATGCCTACACCATGGATCCTACACATTACACCGTCACTAACAAATAAACTCGGGAACATCTGGACCCATTTGATTCCCACTAAAACGTTTCGGTAACTTCCACTGAAATCTGCATGCTTTTCGACAAATTCTTGTGTAGCATTTCTCTTCGTCATCCGGATAGGAGTCAATGTTTGGCATTTTAATCACAACAATAAACCGTATAAAAATTATTATTTGGACCCTCGATGGCCATGATTTCTTCAACCCAAAATCTTTGGCTGCTGATAAGAGTTTCTAATATTATCCTACAGTCTCGACTATGAGACGTGAATGAACATTTGTCTCCATATTTTATATGCATGGTTGTCTGCTCGGCTGTCGGTGATCGGTGATCCGTGAGCTTGGCTGTCTGTGAACCGTGGAGTCGGCTGTCGGTGAACCGTGGGCTTGACTGTCGAACGGTTAGCTGGGCTGTCAAACGGTGAGCTGAGAGCTCGGCCGTCGGTGAGCCGTGAGCTCGGCTGTCGGTAAACGGTGAACCAGGCTCCATCGGTGAACGCTGAGCCCAGGTGTCTGTGAACGGTGACTTCGGCTGTCGGTGAACGGTAAGCTCTGCTGTCTGTGAACGTTGTGCTCCACTGTCGGTGAACCGTGAGCTCGGCAGCTGGTATGGACGGTGAGCCAGACTGTCTGTGAACGGTGAGCTCGGCTGTCGGTGAACGGTGAGCTCTGCTTTCGGTGAACCGTGAGCTCGGCTGTCTGTGAACGGTGAGCCCGGATGTCGTTGACGGTGAGCTCGACTGTCGAGCGGCTGCAGCTGCCGCCGGCCGGTGGCCGGAGTTTCCCAGTGTGACTGGCTGATGTAGGTATGGGTGGGGGCGGGCCGACCGCCGCGCGCCCGCCGCGCCGGCCGCCAGTGAGGACCCGTCCAGCCGCGGGACGGGCCGAACCAGACCCGAGCCGCCGAGGACGGGACTTTACCCGGGGCCGGCCCAGCTGGGTCACAGTGAGTGGGCGGTCAGCCGGCAGGCCGAGGAAGACGTCCGCTCGGCTCGGAGCGGCGCCGGCACAGCGCGGGGGCCAGTGCGCGACAGGCTGTGACCGAGGCGTCGGAGCGCTCCCGGTGCTGTGAGGTGGCGCCGTGCTGTAAGCGATCCGGGCCGGATACGCCCCCAGCAGGGGCCGGCGCCAGGGCCGGGCAGGTCGCTCAGTTGGAAACAGGTGCGGGGACGACCAGTCGCCATGGACCGCGGCGCTGTGGAGGCTGTCAGTCTGGACGGCGTCACCGGCTGCGGACCGGTGATTGGCCGAGTCGAGCTGCCTCTCTGCCTTCTGGTTGAGGACGTGTTGGAGGGTCGCGACCCCACCACCCTCCCCTCGGCCAGGCTGAGGTCGGACCGCTCGACGGAGTTCCCCGGTGGCGTCCGGCGCCCGTCGGGTATGCTGCGGTCCTCCTGGTACTGCTCCACCTCGGCGCGCGTCCGTGACGGCCTGGTGGTGCAGCCCGGCTCTACGCCGTCCCCGTCGTCCTCGACGCAGCGTTTCGACCCTGATGACGGTCCGTGCGCGGAGCTGCCGGTGTGCGCCGACGGTCCGACCGACGAGTCGGGCTCGGCCGGCGGCGCGCTGGTGCGGCCGCCGCGGCCCTGGAGCCGCGTCTCGCTCCGGCTGAGGAAGGGTCTGAACGTGACCTCAGAGCTGGTGCAGCACGGCCTGGGCCGGGTGGACCGCGTGGTGCCGTGGCTGCTGAAGCCCAGCTCGGACGTGGTGCTGGGAGTGGAGCTGCCGTGCACGCAGCCCGACGAGGACTGCCTCAGCGTCTGCTCCTGGGCCGAGCTGAGCGACCTCGACGTGTTCTGCTCGGCCGAGGAGGCCCTCGAGCTCCGTCCGCAGCTGGAGCGTCTCTCCATCAGCACGGTACGGTACTGTGCAAACATGCCTCTCCATCAGAACCGTACGGTACTGTGCAAACATGCCTCTCCATCAGAACGGTACGGTAGGTACTGTGCAAACATGCCTCTCCATCAGAACGGTATGGTACAGTGCAAACATGCGCATGTTAGGAAGGGAAGAATACTGGATAATTTCCGGAATTACTATATGTATTAACCCGACGCCTATAGTACCTATTGTGGATCCGATTCGTACTTGTCTAAGGTCACCTTGATCCCTGAACTATGACGGCGTGATTCAAAAGAAAAGACACATTCATTAATTGATAAAAGGGCTGAAAGCGGAGCTCCGTCCCCGTGACAGAGCTCAGCTGTGCATGGGCTCTATGGACTGCCGTTTCCTGTCCGTAATGCTCTGCGGTTCCACCTGGCAGCGTCGCCTGCATTCCACCGACCCCGTCCCTCCTGACACACTCTGGGCCACGCCCTCCCTCTTCCTTCCCCTCCCCGTCCCCGTCCTACCGCAGTATCAACATCATAAGACACGTGTTGTGCCTCGGGGCTCCAGTCTCCATCAGCCCCAACGGTCCCCTGTCGTCCCGTGTTCGGCATACCGTCCCCTTCCGGCGCGACTGCACGCGGCTGATGTGCGTTAGGCGTGCTCGGCGCTCTTGTGGAGGCTTTTTATTGTCCGTGTTGTGCACTCGACCGCGTGGTCGCGCGCCGCGGTTCTGGCCCGGCTAAATATACCGTCGGCGCCGGCGCGGCCTCGTCGTGGGCGACGGGCCGTCGGCGCCGACGATAGTGACCAGTCGGGCCGAGTGTGGGCGGGCGCGATGGTCGGCGCAGCGGCGACCGGTCATGGTCGGTCAGCAGGTGAGGTCACACGGGTCGGGTGGGTCAGCTGGGACCAGGTCGGTGAGAGCAGGGAGAGCAGGCAGCCGGGGGACATCACGGGCGGCCCCGACGGCCGAGCACGTGGTGCTGGCTGGGCCACGTGGCGAAATTCCGTCGTGTGTTGTGCTGCTTGTCGAGACTTGTTGTCCCTTTGCATTCACTCAGGTAAAGACGTTCATTTTTTCACTTGGAAACATGTGTTGGTTGTTGACGCATCCGTAACGTGATGTAGCTGTAGCTTCATGCACGTTATGAACGTGATGTAATTACGTATTCGTATTCACTTGTTTAAATGTTTGTTGTGTCCTGTTTGTGACGGCTACGCCAGCTCATGTCTCCGTATTTCCATCTCACCCACAACTGATCCGCTGTACATACCCCTCTGTGTAACTTTGTGTTGTGTCCCTCCGTCCTATCGTACCTCTGTACTCTCCTTTGACTCTGTACTCCTGTACCTCACATGTACACCCGTTCCATTTCAGGCGGAGGAGCTGTACGTGGACGCGTTGTACGCCGCCCGGAACCCGCTCGGCTGTGACGCGCCGTCCGCTGAGCTGGTCTCGGAGATCGAGCAGCTGCTGCGGGAGCTGTTCAGCCCTAGCGAAGAGCAGCATGCCGCCTGTCTCACAAAGCTGGAACACCTGGGTGTGAGTGGACCGATTGGGAAGGGAAGATGGACTCGGGGTGCCAGTGGGACGGAGAGGCAGGGCGGTCCGTCTCACTCTTGCTCGGTGATTTTTGTTATCCTTATTGTTAAATGCGGAAAAAGTGTTCTTTTTCGAGCTCAGCGTGATCTTCATTTTTTTGTAGTAAGAATCAGTTTTCAGCATGATATATTCATTAACTGTAAGAAGACTAGCACGAGGGCAATGCCATAGGGATACGGCCAGTGTTTCGTCAAGCAATGAATGTTTAATGGTAACTGATGAAACGTATTATACCCACTGAACATCATGTGCTGCATGTCCCTCCATTTGATCCTTTTGTCCGTATTGCGATGTTTCTGCATTCGGTTTGCTGAGCTGCAGGCTTTGTCTCGCTGTTTCAGACTCCCGATATATGCCTCAGCTGCACTGTACTGGGCGCAAAGGGACTCAGGGCCAAGGATGTCAATGGTGAGCATGGGTGGTAACTCATACTCTGCAGTAAGACAGCAGTCACTGTCGGGTGGTTTGAGGTGTCTGATGGGTGTAAGGGTGTGGATAGGAATGCATCTCCCCGTGCTGAGGAGCAGAAGAGAGGGAGGATGGTGGAGGGAGGGGGGGGGGGGCGGGGTCGGCGGTTTACACGTACCGGTGCCAAGTTTATGCTAGATGATGTCGGCTGCCTCCCCACCGTTTAGTAAAATAAGCCGAATGCGTGCGTGTTTAAAAAGAGATGTTTACGTGACAAATGACTGGGAGACTTCACCCAACTCGATATGAATGGTTCGCGTTCTTGGCTTGGTAACTACATATGTAGTGTATGGGCGTGTGTTAGATGAATCGTTCTGGGCTAGTTACGTCGGTACGTTCTCACATAATACCTACGGTTTTGTGGCGTTAGGTCTTGCTCAGTTACTCAGGAGGGATGGTAAGTAGTGATTATGTTTGCTAGATACGCGCAGTTTCACGTACTACATTCAACATCACATTGCAGCATTGTTCACGACTCGCGGCCTGTTCTTTTTTAGGCAATGGGAAGCCCCTGATTAATAGAACAAAATCATATCTTTTTAGATACCTAATGGCCCAGTCATTCACCCCAAACATTTGTACGGGCTGAGCAAACAAAACCTCCCGCTGCACGTGCCACGATCGGTCATCACCGTTCACCAATGTTATCCCGCAGGACTCAGTGACCCTTACTGCATGCTCTTCATCAACAACGAGGAGCGGAGGGAGACTCATGTGTGCCAGCGCACGCTGAACCCCACCTGGAACGAGACGTTCAAACTGTGAGTGGCCGGCCGGCCGGCGCGTAGGGGTCGTCACCGTAAAACACTGGTCTGTGCGGAAAATGTCCCCTGTGAATAGCGTGTCGATGAGAAACGAACTGAGGTTAGTTGGATGTCAGTGCATACGTATTGTAACGTTTTTCATTCGATACGTGCTGCGTAATCACGGATTTTCTCAATAGCGACCACCAACTGCTTTCTGCGACACCTCCGTTCCGTCGTTTCCATCCTCAGGATACTGAAATCCTTTTCCTCCACGCCGCAAACCCACTCCGGGCTGGACAGGCACCCTCATGCGGGCTGCTCCCTTGGAGAGGCACCGCTGCTCCCGAGGGAGCGCACCCCGTAGCCGGGTGCAGTGAGTGCCTTGGGGCTGGTCGGCCTGTCTTTCGGGGCGGGCTCAGCCCCGGTGACTCACTAGGGTGCCTGCCCCTACCAATGTCTCCCCCTAGTTCCTATCATCCTTCCGGCTCTGAAATGGTCTAATTGGACCGAAAGGGCCTAACCCAACAAAACAAAACAAAACAAAACAAAACAAAACAAAACAAAACAAAACAAAAATTCTACGACAGCCCTCGAAATGTTTCTTTTTGCGATTCGTTCATAGAAAATGATATAGAAGGATGGTAATTTTCTCAGCACTAAAAACCGGTCATTTTGTGGTATTTTCGGCAAAACTAGGCATTTCCAGTTAATTTGAGGTATAACAGGGGCATTTAGCACCTAACCAGTTATAACACCTATTTAAGGAACTTTAGCACTACTTTTAGTCTAATTTGCAGTACTTTTAGTTTGAATGACACCTAATGGTAGTCATTTCGCACTATTTTTGGTAGATGTTTAGGCATCCCTACTAAATCTAGAAGGATTTTAGTATATTATGGAGAAATAAACTACAATACTAGTCTGTACTAGCTACAGATTGTTTGTTGCCAGGTCGATTAGCGTCTGTTTCGGCGCATACGTTTTGAGAGGACCGGTAGGACGCAAGGCGCGCTTCTTGGACGGATTTGGCAAGGAATTTGGATAGATTGATTTACGTACAGCCTCAGCGTGTGCCGATCATCCTGCCTTTTCTTGTCCAAGAGTGAACTGAGCGAGGTTCTTAGCATGGAGATTGGAGAGTGATGACGATTTCCGCGAGGATGTTGGGTCCTACCGTCCGCCCAAGCGTACTGGTCCGCCAGTGCTGCTGTCTTTATTCTGTCAGGTTATCTAACGGCGCTATGGGCATGTAGATTGTAGGTAGGTACAGCATTGCAGTAGCAAATGCTTATAATGTGCGGTGGCATTTTCCCATGCTTAGTAGGAAGCGCTCGACGTCCCTTCCGTACGTGTCGTGGAAGGGACGTGTCTGTCATTGACGCACATCAACTAGATGGATCTTGATTGTAGCATTTCGCAGCAGCGTTTCATCGTTCAGCGGCCTAACGCTTAGCCAGCTCTCATTTCGACTTCGAGCCTCGAGGGGTGGTACTTTGCTGAGGAGCATGAGTGGTCACGCTGCATCGTGAGCCAGATGAAGCCGGTGGGCAGACCGTGTACCGTACATTTGCGTACAGCCGTACAGTACATGATTTTGTCCCACGAACCTATAAGCGATGCGCATTTTTGTCCACAAATTTACCTAATATATAACCCAGCATGCCTATTAGTCGTTAGGGGGCAGCACCGGGCGTGGTGTATTGCGTAGAGGGCAGAGGGCTGTTCACGGGCCCTGTGTGCGGTCGGACCGCACACAGCCTCGAAGCTCCGCCCACTTCGTCCCTACGTCAGCCTTCCGTCACCGCACACAGCGATCGCTGTGGCCGGTCGGGACTGGCCACAGCGGACCGTCCACCGCACGCAGCTGGACGTCAGAACCGCCTACCCATCCCCTACCCCCACGCCTGCTGGACGCACCGCACACACCGCACGCAGCAGTGTGCGGTGCCCGTGGATCGGGATATGCAACAAAACTTGCTCCAATTCCGTTTTCATCGTGGAAGTAATACGCTGAATGGAGGATCATACTTTGATGTCCAACTTACGTAAAACATAAAAAATAAATACCTCAAGAGTCAAGGCTCAAGAATACTGTGATCATAGCAGTAGCTCGTGCTCGGCAGTGAAATCATGAATAGTGCTCATATACCGGATTTAGTGCAAAATGAGCTACCACACACCCATTTATTATGCCAGATCTGGCATCGCCTCTATACTAACTAAAATAGTGCGGAATGACCGGATATACCTGTGTTTGACAGGAATTGCCTGCGAAAAGACGATAGTGCAAACTGAACTTATGATAGTGCAAAATAACTGAAATTTAGGTACTGAAAAAATTATCCCCCGATATAGAACTACGTTATTAAATTGACCTAACCTTAATGATAGTCACTTCAACTGGCGATTGTTGAACTGTCTTGCGCTTTGGGCCGCCAGAGCTCTGGAGAACCCGAGCACTGACATCCTGAAGGTGGAGGTATGGGACTACGACATGGAGGAGAACTTGGCGCAGCGCATCGGCAAGGTCAGCGACATCAAGGACCTCAAGGGCATCACACGCTACATGAAGGAGGTGGCCAAGGGCAAGAGCCACGACACTCTGGGCCACGTGCAGATTCCGCTGAAGGTGAGGTTGGGTCTGGATGGAGGGCACAGCCGAGCCTACTCTTATGTTATTGACTCGGGGGGGGGGGGGGCGGTCTTTGTTATAACGTGAGCTCTTTATTCACAACCAAAGCCGCATTGCGTTAAACTTCCTAGAGCGCCAAACACCGATCGCTACTACCACAACCGCGCTCCGCGCGGGCCGGCGGCCGACTGCTCTCGAACCCCGCGTCTGCGCGCCGGCGCCGCCAATGGCGTCGCCAGGCCCCCGGGCAGGGGGGAGCAACTGGCGTCGCCAGGCCCCGGGGCAGGGGGGGAGCAGCTCGCGACACCACACCCTGCCGCCCTTAAAACGGAACACATTCACTTTAACCTGCCGCCCTTAAAACGGAACACATTTTAAACCGGAACGTGGAAACAAACACATTACGCGTCGGAACGTGGAAACAAACACATTACGCGTCGGAACGTGGAAACAAACACATTACGCGTCGGAACGTGGAAACAAACACATTTTAAACCTCGGCGATCAGTCGCCTCGGGCACCTCCGGCGCCGAGCGGAACGGCGTTGCGAGGGGCCCTCAGTGTCCCCGCCGCCCCTGCCGCCGCCGTCACCGCCACCGCCGGTGTGACTGTAGCCGCTGAGGTCACCGGTATCACCGCCGCCGCCGAGGTCACCGGCACTACCGCCGCTGCTGACGGCATCACCGCCGCCGCTGAGGTCACCGGCACTACCGCCGCCGCCGGGGTCACCAGCACGGCCGTAGCCACCGGGGTCACCGGCATCCCCGCCGCCGCCGAGATCACCGGCACGGCCGAGGCCGACTGCTCCCCGGTCACAGGCCTGACCGGCGACGCCGGCGCGGCTGCCGTCACCGAGGCCATTGGCGCGATCGTCTCCGACAGGGCGCCCGGCGCTGCCGCCGGCGCCACCAGCCCGGTCACCGCCGGTCGTCGCTCTGATGTCACCGCCGGTCGTCGCTCTGACGTCACCGCCGGTCGCCGCTCGGACACTACCGCCGGTGGCCGCTCTGACGTCACCGCCGGCGCTGTTCCCTGGGTCCGCCGCCGCCGCCAACAGCTGGTCAACGTGGCGCGACCAGATCACGTGTCCCACGTCCACTTCATACGACACGGGACCGGGGCGGGCGACCACCGTGCCGCGGACCCACTTCTGACGACCGTCATACGAGCGGGCCCACACTGTAGCTCCCACGGCGAATTCCCTGCTCCGTCCGCCGGCCGTCTCACGCTGCCGGTCCCGAGCCGCCTGCAGAGCTGTCTCGGCGCTCGGAACCATGAGGTTCATACGAGTGCGGAGGTTCCGCCCGAACAGCATCTCAGCGGGAGTCCGTGCGGTCGCGGCGTGGGGCGTCACTCTGTACGCCATCAGAACTCGGGCGAGCGCCAGTTCCATGCCTCCGCTGTCGTCTGCTGCCAGAGTCGCCTTCAGTGAGTTTTTTAGCGAGCCGACCGCTCGCTCCGCCATCCCATTAGACGATGGGTGATTGGGCGCCACTCTGACATGTCGGATCCCGTTAGAGCTGGCGAACTGGGCGAATTCCTGGCTCGTGAACTGTGGGCCATTGTCCGTTACCAGCACCAGTGGTAGTCCGAGACGAGCAAAAACCGTCCTCATCACCGCTACGGTCCGCTCGGACGTGGTCGTCTTCATTGGGATCATTTCAGCCCACTTGGAGAAACTATCCACCATCACCAGGAACCAGGTGCCCTTCAGAGGTCCGGCAAAATCGGCATGCACCCGCTGCCACGGGCCGTCCGTCGGCTCCCACGGGTGCCGTGTCGCCTGCGGCGGCTCAGCTCGCTTTGAGACGCACGCCTGACACCCGCGAGCCAGCGCCTCCAGCTCAGCATCGAGTCCCGGCCACCACACAAAGCGCCTCGCCAGCTGCTTCATGCGAGTGCAGCCGAAGTGACCCTCATGCAGCTCCCGCTTGACGGTGTCGCGCAGGTTGCTCGGGATGACGACTCGGCCGCCCCAGAGCAGACAGTCGGCCTCAGTCGTCAGCTCCTCTCGGCGATTCTTGAAGGGAGCCAGGTCCGGGTCCACCACCGCCGGCCAGCCCGATCGCACCGCCGCCAGAGCGCGGGCGAGCGCCGGGTCTCGGCGCGTGGCCACTGCTATCTGCTGCGCGGTCAGACACGGCCCCTGCTCGGCGATGAACATTACGCCGCCTCCGCCGTACGCCGCCTCCTCTTCTGCCGACAGCCGGTTCTCCGCCTCGTCCGGCACCGACAGACGGGACATCGTGTCCGCCAGCCTCATGTCCTCCGTCCGGCGCAGCTCGATCTTGTACTGATACGCCGCGAGCTGCAGCGCATACCTTTGCATGCGAGCCGCCGCCAGAGATGGCAGCTCACGGTCCGGGTTTAGGATCCTGGAGAGCGTCCTGTTGTCGACCACCAGGGTGAACGGCCGACCAAACAGGAACTGGTGGAACCGCCGCACTCCGAACGAGACGGCTGCGGCTTCCCTCTCCACTTGGGCGTACTTCCTCTCCGTCGGAGTGAGCGTTCGGGAGGCGTACTGTACCGGCCTCTCGAGCCCCTCGGGCGTCACTTGCATCAGAGCCGCTCCGACTCCTGTCGCACTGGCGTCCGTGACGAGCCGCAGCGGCAGCACGGGGTCGTACCGCATCAGGACCGGCGCCGTGGACAGCATGTCCTTCACACGGCGCACTGCCGCGGCGCACTCCGCCGTCCATGCCCATTTGACGCCCGTCTTCAGTAGCGCGTAGAGCGGCGCTAGCACGGTAGACAGGTTGGGCAGCAGCCGCTGATAATAGCTGACTGACCCGATCAGAGATCGCAGCTCCTGCACGTTCCGAGGGTCAGGTGCTGCTGTGACGGCCGCCGTCTTCTCTTGCACCGGGCGCAGACCCGCCTCAGACAGTCGCCAACCGAGATACACCACTTCTCGGACTCCGAACTGGCACTTCTCTTTCTTGAGGCGGACGCCGTTGTCCTTCAGCCGCTCCAGCACCCGGTCCAGCCTGTCCATCAGCTCACGGTCACTGTCGGCGCCGATCAGCACGTCGTCCAGGTAACAGACGACTCCTGGAAGACCATCCAGCACCTGGTCCATGATCGCCTGGAACTGCGCTCCACAGGTGCTGATCCCGTACGGGAGACGGTTCATCCGCATCGCACCACGGTGTGTGGTCACGGTGGTCATCTCTCGGCTCTCTTCGTCCAGCTCACACTGGAGATAGGCGTTCCTGCAGTCCAGCTTGCAGAACTTTTTCCCTCGTATGCTGGCGAATAGCTCCTCCGGCGTGCGCATCGGATACTTCAGAGGCTGCAGCTGCGGGTTCACCGTGATCCGATAGTCCGCGCACAGCCGCACGCCGTCCTTCTTGGGGATGGGTACGAGCGGCGTACCCCATCCGGAGAAGTGTCCAGGAGGCACCTTCTCGGCGATCCCTTGGTCCAGCCACTTGTCGAGCTCCCGCTCGATATCTTGCTGTAGCGCAAACGGCACCGGTCTGGCGCGTCGATAGACCGGTTTGGCGCCTTCCTTCAGTCTGAGCGCCACCTTCACCGGGATTCTGCCCAGTTCTTCTTTGAACACCTCACGGTGTTTGTCCATCACCTCCTTCAGCGTCGGCTGAGTCGCCACCGGGCACACGTTCAGCGTCTCCAGACCCGACGCCGTCCTCAGCGCCTTGATCCACTCTCGTCCCATGAGAGGTCGGTGAGAGCCCATGTCGGACACGACGAGTCGCAGCCGTGTCGCTCGGCCGTCCGTCTCCACGTTGACGTCGGCCTCGCCTCGCAGACGGATTTGCTGGCCGGTGAATGACGTGAGGTGCAGCTCACTCGGCCGCAGCGTCAGACCGGGGATGTGAGTCTCCGCGCTGATTATAGTCACCGGTGAGCCAGTGTCGATCAGCATGGTGAACTCCTGGCCGTTCACCCTGACCGTCGCCCACTCAGCTGCGGCTGGCTGCACGGCGCTGACTTGCCAGTCAGCCTGGTCGCCGTCCTGAACCAGCTTCACGCCAGTTCGCTGTTTGCCGCAGTCACGCTGCAGATGCCCACGCTCTCCGCACCGATAGCAGCGCGGCGCGCCGGCCCGCCATGGCCGCGCGCCGGCCTGCCGCGGCTGCCCGCTGTCCTGCCGTGGCTGCCCGCTGTCCTGCCGCGGCTGCGCACCGTCCTGCCGGGGCCGCGCGCCGGCCTGCCGCGACTGCGCGCTGGGACAGTGGCGCCGCCAGTGGCCCCGGCCGCCACAGCGGAAGCACGTGCCTGGCCCCGGGGGCTCGGTCGGCCTGACCCTCTCCGTCCGCTGCGGGCGTCGCACCAGGTGAACTGCCTCCCCGTCCGTCTCGGCCGGCGCCGGCGCCCCTGACAGCCGCGTCGTCAGATCCATCACGTCCCTGTGCGCCCGTGCCGTCCGCCGGACGTCCTCCAGAGAGAGATCGTCACCCTTTAGCGCCGCCTCCCGGACCAGCTTCCTCTGTAGCTCACCTCGGCTGCCCAGGACGCATCGGTCTCTCAACTCACGGTCCACCTGCGCCGGCTCGTAGCCGCAGCGCAGGATTTGCGCCCGTAGTCTGCCCAGGAACTCCTCCAGACTCTCTTCCTGCTCCATTTTCATCCCTTGAAACTTTCCTCTTTCCGCCACCACATTATTCTTCGGCACCAGATACCGTGTTAGCTTCCTTTTCAGGCGAGCAAACTCGTCTTCTCCCTGTCTCTCGGCGTCCTCCTCAGGCAGTGAATCGCTGACATCGGCGAGGTCCGGGCCCACCAGGTGCAACAGGACTGCACACCGTCTCGCAGGCCCTTGAATGTCAACAGCGATCATATACCGCTCCAATGCCCGGAGCCACTTTTCAAAGTCCGTGCCTGGACGGTACGGCACCGCAGACACTATCTGCATCCCCGTTGGATCCATCGTGCCGCCGCCCTCTCACCAGCACGTCGTTTCTCCGGTCGGCTCGCCGCCGCTCCACCGTCGGCCCGCAGCCGCTCCACCGTCGGCCCGCGGCCGCTCCACCGTCGGCCCGCAGCCGCTCCACCGGCGGCCCGCAGCCGCTCCACCGGTCGGCCCGCCGCCGGGCGTCACCGCTCACACCGGCCGGTCACCGCTCACACCGGCCGGTCACCGCACACGCCGGTCGGTCACCGCACACGCCGGTCGGCCACCGCTCACGCCGACCGGTCACCGCTCACCGCGCCGCCCTGCGCCTGTACTTGGCGCTGCAGCTGCGGTTTCCCGCGCTTTTCTCGACGGGGGCGTCACGTGGTAGTGACGTCACACGCACGTCACCGCGCGCGCATGCGCACTCGCCCCACACCGCCCGGCCGCGCGCCAGCTTCCCGCCGAAATTACCCGCTTCGGGGACCAGGCGCCTCAAACCGCATTGAGGCCCTCTCCGCCGCACCGATCGGCCAATCACACGCGCTACCACAGCTGCGCGTCACCCCCGGCCGACCAATCAGCGTGCAGGACGCCGACGCATGCGCCACGCACACCACACTGCCGAGGCATCATGGCCGCCACGAATTTCGGCGATCACATGGGAAACCCTGCCAGGACAACGGCCGCCGCGCGACAGGCACACTACCAGCAGCAGCGCGAAAATAAAAATACTAAGCAATACTAAGCACTAAGCATTCGTACTAAGCAACGTTTGCGCCCTCACCGTCCGTGGCCTGTCCGCCCTCGCTGACCACCGCGCACTGATCACTGGCCCGTTTCGCCATCACTCGCAATCACAGCTCCAAGGCTTCACCTTGATCTCATCCTCGTCGCCAGGATGTTATAACGTGAGCTCTTTATTCACAACCAAAGCCGCATTGCGTTAAACTTCCTAGAGCGCCAAACACCGATCGCTACTACCACAACCGCGCTCCGCGCGGGCCGGCGGCCGACTGCTCTCGAACCCCGCGTCTGCGCGCCGGCGCCGCCAATGGCGTCGCCAGGCCCCCGGGCAGGGGGGAGCAACTGGCGTCGCCAGGCCCCGGGGCAGGGGGGGAGCAGCTCGCGACACCACAGTCTTGACCGGAAAATAGCCGGCAATATGATACGCTGCCGTAGTGTAAGCAAGGGTATGATAAGTGATTGGAATAGCCCCGGATATCCTGGTGATGATAGCGCATACGCGCGATAATGGAATAGTGTTCCCTGATGACGGGATAGGTATTAGGTAATCTACATACGAGCGTACTTCCCAATGCATATGTTTGTGACGTCAGCCGGCGTATGCCTGCCGGCGCCGGAGACGCCTGGTCCTGACCCGTCCCCGGTCACAGGACATCCCGGCGCTGGGCGTGGAACAGGCGTACAAGCTGCAGCGGCGCGCGCGCGACCAGGGCGGCAAGGAGCGTCCCGGCCGGGCCGAGAAGGAGCGCGGCGTGGTGCAGCTGGCACTGCGCTTCCACAACGTGCGGGGGGCCGCGCAGCGCCACCAGCACGTGGCGCGCCACGTGCGGCTGCAGCTGGCCGTGGTGGGCGCGGCGCGGCGCCAGTTCGACGGCGAGCCGTTCACGTGGCGCGCCGAGAGCCTGCCGGCGGCCGGCCGCGCCCTGCTCGCCCAGCACGCCGCCTGGGGCAACCTGAGCCGCGCCGAGCGGCTGGTGGCCGCCTGGGCCGCCTACGCCGAGGTGCACTGCGCCGCGCCGCTCGACTACAAGTTCCTCTTCACTCAGCTGCAGAACGTCAAACAGTGCCTCCAGGAGGGCGACGTCACGGCGGCAGACGTGAGTGGACGCGGGAGAGGGAGCGGGAGGAGGGAGGGAGCGGGGAGCGTTCAAAGTTTCCGGGACGAACGTTTGCCTTAGAGTTACTCGGCAGGAAAATCGTGCTTAAAGTTCCCGATCGTTGAGTGGGCCTTTTGGTCGGTTATGAACCCTGCTATATTTGCTCCCTCTGCAGATAAGGACGATAGACGTTACTAAACAGGAAATGCCACGGGTTTCCCTGCGTGCACGTCGGATTCTGAATCACTGTTGTCTTTACTAACTCCGCTGAAGTCACGAGAGTTTGTCCGTCTCCAACCCTGCCGTGGCGTGTTTCAGGTGACCCGTTTTGTGGAGACGCTGCAGCGGTTTACCGACCACTGCTACGAGACGATCCAGATGCACCGTCACATGTTCAACCCGCAGAGCGCGGCCACGTTCCACAGCATCGAGTACCTGCTCAGGTCAGCGCCGCTGTCTATTCACTCGCTCCAGACTGTATACGGGGAGAGGGGAGATTAATGAGATTATCAGTTACCAAACGGCGACTTTTGCTTCGATTCATTAGATTTATTTTCTCGTGTGCTGTATGCTCCTAAAGATAAGTCGAGCCTACATGCTGTCGATAATTTTATATCGATACTGCTCGCCTTTTTGCACGTTGCGTATCGGTCACCACAGGAATGAACACACACGTGCTCCCATTGCTGCTCGCCAGGTGTCTGGTGCTGCTCTCCGAGTTCCCCGAGCTGGTCAGGCGAGCATCGCAGAAGCTGGACGATCCGGTGCCGCCCGTGCCGAACGAGGAGAAGGTGCTGAACCCCAAGCGACACATTCTGACGGCTCTGCGGCACGGGAATGAGGACTGGTGCGTACTGAACTCGCAGAGAATGACAGCCGCATCGGATTATTTTCCTATTTTCGTCATGACATTGCTTTAACATTGCTGAAAGCTTCCATTGATGTTTGATATCCCGGAGAGCACGACTCTATGCGATGCCCCTCGGTGAAAGTCTACATCACGCGATTAACCTCTGATTTGTCTCGCCACTAACTGAATCGGTAACGTCTACGACACCAGGTACCGACACGTGTACGCCTCCACCAAACGGGAGAGTGAGGAGCAGCCCGGCCAGGACGCCCGCTGTCAGAGCCTCATCCTGCTCATCAACATGCTGTACGCCGACGTGAAGCGCGGCCTGGAGAGCTACAACCAGATTTTCAGCCGCATCCTGGGCGTCAACTACTTCTCCGTGGCGTACCTGCAGTTCGCAGAGAAGGTGAGAGACGGAAACACCGGCGAGGCGGAGATCCTTCATCGAGCGGGCGCCGAGCGGCCGGTGTTTGAAAGCAGCTGTCTCGTTTGATGGTGGCCATGCGTTTCCGTATGGTTCGTGCGGCTGTTGCAATAGGTGTGTTTTTTGGACGACTGCATGAGCGGCAGTGGTCGATCCGGTAATTGGAGAGTGAACAGAGGACCGTGACTACCCCGTCCATGACTCACGGTAGTTCCGCTAGATCAGTGCCACCGGTCATGGGGCGTTCTGGATGACTGGCCAGGCGTGTCCAATGTCAGGAACTGGTGATAGGGCGAGGCTGCAGCGAGACAATAGATTTCCACGTTGGCCTTTAATTTGGAAACATGACTAAGTGTTCACAGTATTACCTGCAACACTTGTGAATGCCATTCAACCATGAGCGATAAAACTAAGGATCGTTTATCGATTTAGAGACTGTAAAGTACGGTTCATTTGAGGGTGAACCTCAATCAGAGTTCACTTCTTACCCACGGATCGATGTGCACGGATCGATGTGTAAGTGTATTGTGTATGTGCCGGACGTGGCTGTAGTTCTGACCGGGTGTAATTCTCGCGCTCAGCTGAAGCAGGAGATCGGTCCGATTGTGGACGAGATCTCGCGCTCGCTACCGACGGTCGAGTACAAAGAGGGCGCCACGGAAAACCTGTCGTCGCCCGAGGGCCTCGACATGGGCACCTCGCTGTTCGAGCTCTACCTGGCCGTCCAGCTCTTCACCAGGTGAGACGGCCGCGGTGGAAATGTGGGAGAGGGAGTAAGGCGAGGGAACAGGAGTCTGGCCTGGCAGGACAGTTTTCACCAGATGAGACGGCCCGGGTGGTTTTGTAAGGGGAGGTGGCTAGTGGACAACGGAAGGGGAAGGGTAAACATGGCAAATGCAGGTACTCTCAGTACATTGATGCATACATAATTGTTTTTCCAACGCATCTGCAGCTCGAGTGTTTCAAATCCCAAACACTTATTGTAATGGAAATTTGCATTCCAGAAATGGTGACATTGGTTGAAGTTGTCCATACTGTTATTTCTTCGTTACTGATCTTTCTTTCTACTGTGTTCAGAACGAGTTGGTGGTCGCGTATGGGCTCAGTTAGCTGACAGCCTGTCCTGTGATCTAGGCGGCCTCGCCACTGACGTCTGTATGTGTGTGTCTCCGTGTTTCAGTCTGCGGGAGCAGCTGCCCGAGGAGGACACACGCTCGGAGCCGGCGCCGCTGCAGGACGCCTACCTGTGGTTCGCCAGCGCCGTCAACCGCTGGCTCGACATCGCCTGCTACAAGGCCATGCACCGCATCAAGAGGGCCATCGAGCTGGACCAGGCCACGCAGGTCAGTCAGGGCGGGCCGCAGCCGCAGGGAGAATCACTGGTGTATGTGACACGGCCGAGCCGACGCGGACGATATATGTAGCAATATCAACAGAGATACGGGCGGAGCGGCTGGTCGTCACTTTTCTGGTAGTTGCTTGATGTTTACAACGTATGCTACTTAAACCCGGCACCGCCTGGGCTATTTCCGTACCCACGACAGCCTGGGGGGGGGGGGGGGGTCGGATCCGACCCCCCCCCCTGTTATCTCGCGAACCAATGGTCGTATCGAGCCCCGCGAGGCGGCGTTCGAAAGGTCTCTACGAGACCTTCCCAAAGCACTCTTAAAATTTTAAGATTGAGGCCAACTTTCGGGTCAAGGTCAGGTCAAAGGTCAAATTCAGGGGTTTTGCATGAATCGGCTTACGGACAGCGGAATCGATAGCTGCTGCTCGAAACTCACCAAAAATGACCTCAAAGGCCTAGTGAAGGTACCATGTGCGTATAGGGGTCATACTAAGTACGGGTCAAGGTCAGGTCAGGTCACGAAAGGTCACGGTTTTCACTTTCTGCTACATGGGCGTGCGACACATGTTTATGGCTTATTTTTCACGCCGAATCCGATGGTAATGGTTATATGTGACCCCAAGTCACTGTGCTGGTGATAAGTGTGCATTGAAAGCATAAAAAATCGTTTATACTATACATAACTAAACGAGGGCTAAGAAAAAAGTCAATTTTTCAACTTTTTATTTTTGACATAAAAATGCACTTTTCTAGAAGAGCTTTGTCCCAGGAATCTAGTGGTGCCATTTGTTTTCACATGCGATGTTCAGAAGTGCCTCTAATTCACGAAAATGCTTATGACGTCACCATGCCCTATGCATGTTGGAGCTATTTTTTACAATTTGGGGGTCAAAAATCAAGATAGAAAGTTGAAATTTGGGGCATGTAATGTTCTAATGGAGCTCTACAACATATATTCCGGTTTTTTGGAAATAACCAAAATTTTGGATTTTATTAGCTGTTTTCCAAAAAATATAGTTTTTTTGAATTTTTAGGGGTGAAAAACGCATTTTATGGAAAATCCGAGATAGCCATTTTAAAGAACTCGTTGAGCTGCGTCCTTTCCTGTCCTTAATTTGCAATTTGCTTCAAACCCTGATTTTTGGCGATTTTTTTTAAACATTTACCACTTTTTGACTAAAAACGCCATGTAGTTACATCACTAAAATCGATATATCTCTTTAATTTTTGGAAATTTTTTCTTAAAAATTGCACAGGAGACGTCAAATTGATGGGGGAGAAGGTATGCCAAGTTTCAAGTAGATAGCGAAAGTGATTCATGAGTTATTCAAGAAAAACGGAGGGGGGTCGGATCCGACCCCCCTCCGTTTTTACAGAAATTACAGAAATTATTTTTAATTTTACAGAAATTACCCTTTCTGTTCTTCAGGTGCACACGTTCGTGAACCACAGTAGCTCGGCAGTGTTATGTTAAATTACCCCTTCTGTTCTTCAGGTGCACACGTTCGTGAACCACAGTAGCTCGGCAGTGTTATGTTAAATTGCCCTTTCTGTTCTTCAGGTGCACATGTTCGTGAACCACAGTAGCTCGGCAGTGTTATGTTAAATTACCCTTTCTGTTCTTCAGGTGCACATGTTCGTGAACCACAGTAGCTCGGCAGTGTTATGTTAAATTACCTACCCTTTCTGTTCTTTAGGTGCACACGTTCGTGAACCACAGTAGCTCGGCAGTGGACACTGTGGCCGTCTTCTACCAGATCAAGACGTTCTGGAAGCAGCTGAGCTGGCCGGACGCCATCGGCTCCTACGGATTCGTCACCAAGGTGAGCGCGGACGGATGTCACACAACTAGGGCTTGTCTCCGGTCATGACACGGGAGACTCAGCTGATGATATTCCGTCATTGTGTCTTGCAATATTATCAGTAAGAATGCGTGAATTTGTTTTTGACTGCATAATAATCCCTTCCACATTTCATTCGTTTGTACACTAGCATTTCTTTCAGCCGATGTCCCCATTGCGCTATCGGGTAGTCATTTCAATTGACTGGGTCCTTCTTACAATGTTCTTCATTGCCCACTGTCCATTAGTGCCCGTGACCACTGCGTCGTGATCCGTGACGACTCTGTCCGTCGGCCAGGTACTGGACGACATCACCCGGAGCGCTACGTTCTACGTGGCCCAGATGCACCGGCACCTCAAGGCCTGTGGCTACTCGTGTCCCACGCGGCCCTTCAACTTCACCCAGGAACTATGCCTGGCGCTCAACAACGTCGAGTTTGTGCGCGAACAGATCAACCCGCTGCCCAACGAGCTGGGATTCGAAACGGTGGGTGAGCGCCGCGCACAGAGCACCTGGCCGGGCCGGACCTGATGTCAGCTCAGTGCCAGAAGCCGTCACAGGCCGTTATTTAGTCATGCGTAATCGACCGCCGGTGACGTCTGGGTCCCCTGGCAGTCGGTATCTGGCTGGTTTTGGCGACACCGACGCTGCACTGCCACCTGACGGGCATATGTCTGAGAGCCTGTAACTTAGGCTGTGCGACAGCTCCTGCCATCTGTCGAGCACATAGGGCGGCTACTGAGATATATTGTATGTCTGAGAGTCTGTAACTTAGGCTGTGCGACAGCTCCTGCCATCTGTCGAGCACATAGGGCGCGCACTGATACAGTCCGTATATTCGTATATTCACAGGGTAGGTATACTCGATATGTCGGCGTCTGATTATCCCAGTTTCACGACCAGTGGGACCCGTATCTGATACCACGGCCCCTATACGCCCCCCGCGCTCCCCTCCACACTGCTGACCGCGCGGTGCGCTCGGCCGTCTCTGTGCGGCAGGTGTTTTCAGCCATGGAGGAGCAGCTGGGCTCGCAGGGCACGATCCAGTGTCGGATGACGCTGCAGAACGTCATCGACCAGGCCATCGAGGACATGGAGCACGGCATTAGCGACATGGTCGACGGCTCCGTGGCCCAGGTCAGTTACGCGGCGGGGGAAGGCCGGAGGGTCGCGCGGGGATGGCTGCTTTGGCTCAGGTGGGACGGGGAGGGATGCCATGGCTCGGGTCAGGTGCGGCGGGACACTTTACGCTGCCTTTTGGAATAATTTGTTGTTGGGTCTCCGAACTGCACGCTGTGTAACTTAGATCCACTCTACTGTATTGTAGCATTTACTCGTAGAATATTGTCCTGCAATGCACATCTGAGACCTGCGCGAGGCTTCCGCGACTTGAAGCCGGTATTTCCTGTCCCACGCTGCACGCTCACAGCTGCCGTGTCTGCGGTCTGGCCGCGGCTCGGGCCCGTGTCTGACCGTGTCTGTGTCTGCGTGTCAGATGATGCCCCAGGTACACGCCTACCTGAGTCAGCTGTCGCAGCCGCACTGCCACCTGGTGCCAGCCGACAACATTATCTCGTACCTGGATACCAACCTGATGCTGCTCTACCCGCGGCTGCACCCGGCCAACCTGCGGCGCGTGCTAGAGTCCATCTGGGTGCAGGTGCTGCAGGCCGTAGTGGACACCACCAGCCGCAACAGCAAGGTGGGCACTGAGTGGGACTGAGGTCACTGGAAGGACAGGGTCACTGAAACAGTAAGGTGGGCACTGAGCGGGGACTGAGGTCACTGATACAGCAAGGTGGGCACTGGGCGAGAACTGAGGTCACCGAAACAGCAAGGTGGGCACTGAGTGGGGACTGAGGTCACTGGAAGGACAGGGTCACTGAAACAGTAAGGTGGGGACTGAGGTCACTGGAAGGGCCGGGTCACTGAACCAGTAAGGTGGGGACTGAGGTCACTCAAACAGCAAGGTGGGCACTGACGGGGACCGGGTCACTGAACCAGTACCGTGGGGACTAACCAAGGGCCTCTGAATCACCGAAACAACAAGGTGAATGCTATGGGAGGGGAAGGACCTAGCCGCTGTCTTTTTATTATGTGTCCCTCCTTCACGGCTGTATGACTATGTGAACCATTTCCTGGCCAAAGGCGCGGTTTGTCACACCTCTCTGACCGAGGTTACTTTACTAACATCTCCGACGTGTCTCCGAGCGCAGAAGGAGACCGAGTACTTTGGGACGATGTGCAGCCTGGTGAACGCGCTGGTCGAGTTCATCAACGGCGACGACAAGGGCCTGCCCATGGACGCCATCCACACGGACGTCTACAAAAAGTTCGTTCACTGGGTCAACGTCTACAAGTGCGACCCCGAAAAGCTCATCTCTATGTACTACGCGTGAGTGGTGTGCGTTTGAATGGGCGGCGGACGCTTAGGACGGCAAAAGACGGTCACTCTGGGTGGTAGGAAAGTGATCAGTTTGATCGAAAATAAAATTTGGAGTTGCTGTTTGAACATGTAATTTTCAAAGGCCAAATATAGTGCATAAGATATCGATCAAATATGTGCACTCAGGAGTTACAAATTGAAGACAAATGAAGCACGTTAAGTGAAATGAGGAGCTGAACGCAACTATATAGGTAAAATAACAATTCAGTGATTACGGAGCGAGCGAAGCGAGCGGAGTCTTTCCTTAGATTAACGGAAATTTCTGAGTATGAGCGGCCGGCCGGCCGGCCGGCCGGCCGGCCGGCCGGCCGTGCGGACGCTTTTGCGAGGCTTATATCTCAGCAACTACTTGACCGATTTACACGCGGTAATTTTTGTAGGGTAGCTTCATTCCTTCTACCAAGTATTGGACTATTCCCGATGCATGTGGGTGACCCCTTATGCACGTGCCACGTGCAAAACGAAGAGGTGTCACTTTTGTAATTGTTGCAATATCTCGGTAACTACTTGGCCGATTGCGCTGAAAGTTGGCATGTAGGTAGGCACCCACTAGGCACTGTATATCCATGTGCCAGAGTTGGGGTGCTGCTGCACGTGCGCACGTGCAGGGGTCGTTTCCAGATCTCGAGAACGGCTGGACCGATGGCGCTCAAATTTGGTACACGGTTAGGGACCAGTTAGTAGGGTGCCGTGCACAAGTCAGTTGGGACCCATGTTGCACGTGCGCACGTGCAGGGTGCCGCTCCCAGATCTCGAGAACGGCTGGGCCGATTGTGCTCAAATTTGGCACATCGCTAGAAACCGGTCAGTAGGGTGCCGTGCACAAGTCAGTTGGAGGTACCCCCTCGAAATTTCGCACGTGCAAGACTCACCCCCTCGCTCGCTCCGTTATTCGCCCCAAAAGGCGCTATACTGGTAATATTATACGAGAAGAATACATATTATGCGAATATGTATCTCGCAATCGTTACTGGCCTTTAAACTGTATCCATAACACGTAATTTCCACTTCGCCATCACACTGAGCTTGGAGACGTCAGTCACCCGATGCATGCGAAACTCGCGATAAAGGTTCCATTCGCTGAGCAGCTCCGTGTCCCCGACAGGCGAAAGTACGACATCCAGGAACAGGAGGCCGAGTCGCCCCAGGGCAAGCTGGCCACCAAGGCGTTCTTCGTCGACAACGTGCTGAGAGTGGAGGTGCTCAACGCGCGCGGCATCCGACCTTCCGACCCAGACAGTAAGATGATTTATGGTTTATCCGACCCTCCGACCCAGACAGTAAGATCAAATACGGTCCATCCGACCCAGACAGTAAGATGATTTATGGTCTATCCGACCCTCTGACCCAGACAGTAAGATCAAATACGATCCATTCGACCCAGACAGTAAGATCAAATACGGTCCGACCCTCCGACCCAGACAGTAAGATCAAATACCGTCCATCCGACCCTCCGACCCAGACAGTAACATCAAATACCGTCCATCCGACCCCCCGACCCGGACAGTAAGATCAAGGTCTATCCAATCCTCCGACCCAGACAGTAAGATAAAATACGATCCATCCGACCCTCCGACCCAGACAGTAAGATAAAATACGATCCATCCGACCCTCCGAACCAGACAGTAAGATCAAATACGATCCATCCGACCCTCCGACCCAGACAGTAAGATCGAATACGGTCCATCTGACCCTCCGAACCAGACAGTACGATGAAATACGATCCATCCGACCCTCCGACCCAGACAGTAAGATGAATTACGGTCCGTTCGACCCTGATAGATTAAATGCGGCCCATCCGCCGTCTGACCATTTTATGCTTCTCTATTTCAGCGTGCGATGCTTATGTCAAGATCCAGTTGATGCCGGAAAATCTCACTCCGACCATGGAGAAGATTCAGACGAAGATTCAAAAGAAAACTGTCTTTCCTCTATTCGACGAAGTCTTTGAATTGTGAGTAATGTCATGTGATGCTTTATTCCGACCGGTTATGTTATGCTGGGATAGCTTGCACCAGTTGATATGGCAGAGAAGATGTTTCTTTTTTATCAGTGAGTGTGCGATCGCTACCACCACACATTATTGACGGTTGAAGTAGTTCTTTCGCCTCCCCTCATGCCTGACTCCCCTCTCCCCGGCCTGCCACACCCCTTCTCCCGTCCCCTGGCTGACCCCCCCTCCCCGCTGTCGCAGTCACGTGGACCGGGAGCGGCTGGTGGCCAAGGAGGCGCACCTCGTATTCACCGTCAAGGACCACCACACGCTGGTCGAGTCGGAGCTGCTGGGGGAGGCGGTGCTGCCCCTCTCGCGGCTTCAGAACGTGGCCTTCAGCCAGGCACGCCAGGTGGAGCAACAGCTGCTCAACCTGACGCCCGTCCGCATGAGAGGTAAGGGGGAGAGCGAGAGGGCGGGGTGGATGGGAGAGGATGGTAAGCCGTGGAGAGAGAAATGAGAGAAGAGTCGTTCAATGATATAGGAAATATGACGTTCGAAACGCCTCTAAGAACCATTTAGCCGGGACCACTTTGTGTATGCACACATGAACGTATTCAGCAATGCAATGCAATTTCGCCAGAAGTACAGGCATGACGCATCCCTCGGTAAGCTCATCAGCTCATGGCTGACGTTTTGTGTTACAGCGGAGCAGACGGAGATATTCCGCGCTCTGGTGGACAAGTCCTCGTGGAGCCCGGTGGCCGCCGAGTTTGTGCGGAAGCTCACCAAGCGGCTGAAGCGCGACAGCGCGCACCCGGCCGGCGCCACCACCACCATCTCGCGCCGGCTCTTCAAGTCGTAGCCGCCGCTCCGGCCGCGGCCCCACTCTCCTCTCTGTGATATTACAGCGCGTCTAATAATGCTCACCGCTCGGCGATGGTCCGCCGACGGCTCGGCGCCGCGCGGCGATTGTGGCGCTCATTGCCGCCAGTGAGACGCTTGTGGCGCGTCTTTAGATGAAGCCAAAGACTGCATACGTATCGCAGGGTGCCGAGCTTGCAAATTGTACGTGTGTCGTGACTGTCTGTTGACTGGTAAATCGTGTTTGACGATTATGTTGCATCGCTGATTCTTTTCTGAAATGTGCGTGTTGAATGAACGAATAATGTTTACAGTGAGATTCTATTCGATGTTACTTTTTTCTGAATTAAGTATTGCTTTATTTGATGGTCACATTTTATACTGCTATGAATGAATATGCTAAATAACATACAGAAGAAACAGCTCGTGTTTAGAAGTCATATCGAGGATGCCTGGTACTTTGTCAATTGCAACTGAACCCAATTTGGGTTCAGTTCAGTGGTGAAGGAAGGGGGACAACTCCCAGATTTGATATCGAGTGTTCATTTCTTTCCATGCTCTGTCACGGACGGCGATGCTATCATCGGCTGTTGAAGACGGCCAGGTCCCGCTGGAATACGGTAAAATTTGTTGAAAATTTTTACCGTATCGCTACTCGGTAGGTAACAAATGATTTGGAGCTAATAGCGAGAAATGGAGCCGCGCATTGCCGCCAAATTTGACGTCTGTTTTTTCCATTAGAGATATGTGAATTTCAATACCGATTTCCGAGTTTCAGAATTTCAGAGAAATTAACGACTAGAACATTCTTCAATCTTCTGACGAGAAGGTGAACGCAAGTTCCGTGAATATGCTTAACCTGCGCCCGGTTGAGCCTCTTGGCCAACTTCGCCATGGTGGGGCCGGGGGAGGGGCTTTTTGACCAGAACAAATTATCTCGGAAAGTAATCAAGCTAGAAAGACGGGGTAAAAAGCAATAGATACCTCGCTACATGATCTTTCAGAATAACATAAGTCATTTTTTTAATCAGGTCATCGCTGAGGTCCCTGGAGGTCACCAAAGGCAAAATTTTCAAAAATTTGTGCTCCCGATTTTGACAACTTTTCACTAATCGTCGCATGAGTCGGGAACCAATAGCGGTACAGCGCTGCGGAAAAGCGCATTTGATAGCTCTTTCAAAGCCGGCTTTCTGAATGTTGTTCTCAGATCTGACCTAAGGTCGACGGTTTAAACTCCAGAGGGCAAAAACTACCAAAATTTGACGTTTTTTTGCGGAAAAGGTTTTTGTATGATCACTTTTGATTCCAAGGTTGCATGACGCTGATTTTAATGGCATCGCATTTGTCCCGTCCAAACGCGTCTACTGAACCGTATGCTGATCTGAAAAGGTCATTTAAAAAATTTGACCTCATGTCAAGGTCACGGAAAAGGTCATGTTGCATGTCATTCGATTCGTATTGTTGAGCTGAACACATTCATGGTGTTTTCAGCGCTCTAGCATGTTTCTATCTAAAGTTATAGTAAAAAAAAAAAAACTGTTGGAGACGTTTCATGACCTGAGATGACCTCAAGGGCCTAAAGGGGTGCAATTTTCTGGTTCAGTGTGTCAATTCACCCGTGTCCCGATGTTTCAGGGTGTTTTCGGTCAAAAGAAAAACATATCGATTTTTCCCCATTGACTTGTAATGGAGAGGTCGCAAAATTGACCTGACCTACCGATATCAAAATTCCGAGATATGCGAATGGTCCATACTGATTTTTTTCCGCACAAATGCCCGAGTTTCAAACTTCTGGGATGTGAACTGTAGGAATGACGCATAACAAAGTTTTTTTTTTAGAGGCATGGTTACTTAAGTTGACCTGGTAACCTGACATGTGACCTGGGGTCAAAAATTTCACACACGATGCGAAATTGATGAATTATTCATCAATTTGTACCTAATCTCGCAGCACGTTTACTTTACGCACGCAAGAAAAAAAACTCAGGTGTGGTCAAAACGCCCCCCCCCCCCTCCCCGGTCGAACCTCGATAACTACTGGGCCGACTTATCGGTTCTACTTTATCCCGGACACCGAGTCAAGAACAAGCTCAGTGCGCGAGATTGATGAGACCGGGGTCTTCAGGTCTTGTGACCATCACAGTATAACTATAGGCACCTACACCCGATCATTGCATACGATATGATAGCAGCCCTACTTGAGGCAATATCATCAGACAACCCCCCCCCCCCCCTCCAGCCAAGTGTCCATATTCACGGGCACAAAGACAAAGACCACGTGTTACGTGACCGCATCAGATTGTCACAATCACATACTTCAGTAAATAAACAACGATCACGCCGGAGACGGCGACTGGCCTTGAACGCGACACGGTGAAGAACGACCAGGCGGGGGGCGGGGGACCGATCGACGCACCCTGGGTGGCGTTCGCCCCGACCCGGCAGTTTTAGTCCGTCGAGTGCCGATCGGCGGGAATGTCCCGGGCGACTGTCAGCAGTTGTGGCCCAGCTACGACCGAGTGCCGTGGTCGTGTGCCAGTATTAGTGTGCCAACGGGGGCGGTCACCTGCGCACTTGACCAGACGGACTCTGCCGGACTGTGAGTGCAACACGGACAGAATAGAAGAGACAAGTTTGTTAGTTCAACCGGGAGGTGGGCCAGTGAATAGTTGCATCAGCCCTCCGGTGAGCCTGCAATAAGCGTGGGAAAGACGACAGAAAGTGCTAGTGATCATGCGGAGGCCGATGGACAAGGACCGTGGCCGGAGCTCCCAGTAAGGACGACTGTGTGTAACAAGCCGATGGTGAGACAATCGGAGCCCGCAGGGACTGCTCGAGCCGAAACCTAGAGAACTGCGGCCAACAGCCAACAGGAATTCATGGAGAAACCGCCGGACGAGCCCTCGTCACAATCCTCCAGGCATGATGAAAAACTCGTTGGGAGCGAGAGTGAAAAACAACGTTCCACAACCAACAAGGGGGATGAAAAGCGGCTCAGGGAAGACACATCTAACGCCAGTAGCGCGGAATGTGACGAGGATGTCGTATCGGACGACCTTTCGCAAAGAGTGGATCTGCTTCTCCGAAAGTGTGGAGGTCACACCGACCTTGTTTTCGACACCATACTGGACCAGACATCAGACGAGTTTCACCAGGCGTCGATGTTCGTTCGGAACGCCGTCGAGGACCAGGTGGGCACGGCCGGGGCCCTGGAGGCGGCGCCGCTGCTGCAGCTCGTCCAGGAGCGCCTGCCCCGGTGTCCCCACTGCTCGCCGTTCGGCCAGCTGCTCATTCAGACCGTGTCCACATCGGGCAGCGTCATGGAAGGACTCAGCAACCCGACAGGCGCTCTGGAAGTCGACTCCGACCTGGACTCCATGTACGAGTTCGGACCCATCCAGGTACAGACGGCGGACGAGTTTTACACGAGACGAGCAGCCGCACCGACCAGCACGGGATCCCACCCAACCACGGCGCCCCCAGCACCGCCCTGTGTGATCATCGTCCCCACCAGGAATCCCGGCTTTGTGATGCTCCGGCAGCCCCGGACGCCGGACTGCGCCCACGAGCACGAACTGCTGTTCTCCTCCGAGGCCTTTTACAAGCTGATGCGCTGCTCGGTGCGGTTCGAGCAGGCGGCGTCTATCGGGGTTCAGGGCACCTCTGGACCATCGGCTGAGATCGAGCGCAGGTCTGAGCTCGGCTATGATGGGAATGACGCCGTGCCTTGCCTCCGCGCTCACTGGTGGCCTGCTCAGGAGTTCATCACGCGCGATCGGAAGCAGGACTGGCCTCCGGCGAAAGCGAGGGAGGACATTCGGCTGTACGGAGTGCACCTCGTCGCTAAAAGTCCTCCCGGCAGTCCTCTTGGCTACTACATTTGGCGAATTTCGTTCTCACGAGCCGAGGTGATAGCCTCCTGGCACCTGACGGTGCAGCAGCGAGGCTCGCTGCTCGCCCTCAAAAGGTGCAAGGCAGGCCTGGGGAAGCGCGGCAAGGGCGTCAAATCGTACTTCATGAAAACGGCGCTGTTCTGGGTGTGCCAAATAGTACCAGCCAGCGAGTGGGACAGCGCGGTGGAAGGCGCTCGCTGGATCCTCCACCTCCTGGAGGGCGCAGTCAGTGTGCGCCGCCTGCCGTGCTTCTTCTGGGCGGACATCAACGTCCTGCAGTTCCTCTCCACCGAGGAGCTGAGCGCCATGACGGAGACGATCGGGCTGCTGAGGGCCCACATGGACCGGCTGCTGATGCGCTGGTGCGCCGGCCCGCTCTCGCACCTGGTGGAGCCCGTGCTGCGGCACCCCCAGGAGCCCATCCCCGAGCACGAGCTCCGCGTCTGCCTGGTCCGAGCTCTGGTCACCTCCGCGGTCTGGCACGCCATTCGAAAGCCCTGCGATTCGCCGAGACTGGCGAAATACGAATCGTTCTGGGTGCCTCGTCTTCTGGGCTCGTCGGCTCCTGGTGAGCTGGCCGCTATGTTTCACCAGGAGCTGGCCACCACCTTTCTGCAGACGACTCTGTTTCGGGCACTGCTGGTGGCGCCAGACCCGGTGCTGAGCCGCACGCGCGTCACGCCACTGCCCAGCGGTCTCCTCACGCTCGACCCGGCGCCGCTGGTCTCGCTGCTGCAGCCGCAAGACGTGCTGGAGGTACTGGTGGACCCGCTGCGGGTGCTGGACTGGTGTCGGCAGCAGCACGCGCGGCCGCCCGCCGAGCGGCCCGCCGGCGTGCCGGACCACATCAACTCGCCGCGCGCCTTCTGCGACCTGGCGCTGCGGCCGGCCCTGCTGCGGCGCGCACTCTGCGAGAGCGTGCCCGGGTTCCGCGAACACCTGCAGGCCAAGCTGCTCGACGAGAGGATGCTTCTGGATAGACTGCGGGTCTTTGAGCTCTCGTTCCACCCGCAGCTCGGCGTGTTCGCAGAGAGGCTGCGGAGGAAGTACGACAGCAGCGTGATGGGTCGTCTGCAACGGGCGCTGGCGCTGGACGAGGACACGACGTTCATGTTGGCGGTGCAGTGGTGGTGCGAGCTGCTGCGACTGCTGGCGGAGCCGGCCGTGCAGACCGAGTTCCGGCGCCGGTGTGCCGCGCTGCCAGACACCTGGAGTCTCAGGAAGTACGTGTTCAGAAACTGACGACGGGGTGAGAGTGCGAGGAGTCGGTCTGCAAATGACAGCCCTCGAACAGACGCCCGTTCCGCCGGAGAAGGGAATCGGCTGCGCTTGTGATGCATGGTTTTACTACTCCATGAGCAATCTTTCCAGAAAACGGTTGGTATTGTCGGTCGACGCTCAGTTTCGGCCTGAGTTGTCCTTCGATTCGACTGGAAGGCATCGGGCGGGGCCGGCTATTGTTGAAGGCATAGGCTGTGTATGTGTGAATTAGGCGAGTTGTGAGTAGTGTTCTGAGGTTAGCTGTGCTGAAGTTGTGAGGCTTATGACGCTGTGAAAGGTGACACTTGAGGCAGCATAGACAGGATCACGATGCTAAAGAAAGTATGCGCATAACACCAGTATCATTTTGCGCGTCTGAAGTCACTGGCATTCGATCGGTAGTCGGGCGGAATATTACCGTGCTGGCTAGTGGCAACACCGCTACCGACTGATCAGCGGTCATTTATAGTATAAACTTTACATTGAAATCGATCATGGCAATTACAATGAGTGTGAAAATACAACGAACATTGAACGGTGCTCTCAGTTACTCAGTCATGGTAAACCATTTGCTGTGAGATCGTAGCAAGATCTAGCCGCTCAACACAGTAACTGTGTAACCGCGGTTCAATGAATGTCTTCATCTGCTTCCTAGCCTGAAAATTAAGTACCCTTGTAGTGGCCCCTCCCCATCCCCACATTCACAATATCCCCTGCTTTTCTGCCTCTAGTATAGTCTGACCCTGATCCGAGCAAACCAGTAGTGTAACAACATCGTATATTAGTATCGGCCGCGGCTGGCCGGTGCCCGGCGGCCCAGCGTCCGCCGCGCGGGTCGCTGGCACCCAGGCGGCCGGCCGGCACACGCACACACGCACACACACTCAGGGATGCTCCCGGCTCGCGGCCGGTCAGTTGGCCCACTCTAGGATCACAGTTCTGCGCGCCGCGCCGCGGTGGATCCCGCCCGCTCGCCGCTGCCCCGCCCCAGTGCCCACGCACGGCCGAGGCCCGCTCCGTGTCCCGGGGCGCAGCGGACACCCCTGCCCAGCACCGCGCTCCCTGCCCGACCGCAACCAACACAGGACACCGGAGCGCTACAGACGCTACTGGGGGACTGCCCTCAGAGTCTTCCTACGCCGCCCGGCGTGAGTAGTTCAGTCCGGGTTATGAAGCGAAATGGTTCTAAAATGTCTGCTGGTGTCCGCGAAAAACGGGCGCGGCGTGCGAGAGAGCTACCAGTATCGCCCCACGCCGATAATGCCCCGGCCGGCGCGCGGTCCCCTCACAGAGATCCCAGAGGCGGCGGCGGCAGCGGCGGCGGGGTCGGGCACGAGCGGCGCAGTCCAACGTACCGGCGCCGGGCCGACCGCGCCGTCTATGCTACCACGCGCACAAGTACACAGACATACACACTTGGCATATGCATGCTACATCTACGTAGTCATAAAATTTGTGCGCTTGGTAAGTGGTGAACATGCCACCGATCGGCACGGAGCCGCGTCACCCGCTCCCACATCCACACAGGGGGGCTGACGGCAGCCGCGCCGCCGACTGAAAACGCGGACACGCACCGACTGAGAACACGGACGCGGGCCGTCCGGCGCGAGGAGGAGCGGCGCACACAGCGGCGGGCACCCCGGAGCCGGCCCGGCCGTCTCTGACGGGTCCGCGCCAACTACCCGGCCGCCCCGGCCAACCAAAGCCCGCGCCAACCACCCAGCGGCCATTGAATTACCGCGCCGGCCAGCGCAGGTCCATCATCATCGACAGCAAAACAGCATCGGCGTCCAGGTAAAATATCCAAAAACGGGGACCGCCCTGCTGCGGTAAGCTGGTTAAACCCCCACAGCGCTACGCTCGCGCGAGGGTCCACAGGGGATAAATGGGGTACGGCTGCGAGCCCAAGTTGGTACGATGACCACATTAAAGCCATGTATCGCGTACGCGTCATCCATGACACAACCGTCAACAAAGAAAGGGGTAACGGCGGGGCAACAAGGCAGTTGCACGAGTGCGTCTAAAATCAAATGACCGCCATTAATAGCTAATGCAATTGATAAGTTAAGCCAAAGGGAATGCTCATGTGACTTGTGAAATAGCCGGTCCACCGTCTCGGCAAAAGCCAGAGATACAGCACCGTCAAATGTCACCGACAAAACGCAAAGCTGAGCCCGATAAACCCGGTCGTAGCAAATAAAAAGGATGTTTTTTGTCATCCACTAAAACGTTACGATGCATAGGGCGGTTCCCAGGAACCATAAAGTTCTCTCATTATAAAGAGAAAACGTTCAAAGTAAGTGACCTACAATAAGCATCACCGTCGCTCCGGCTGACCTGTCCGCCAAATCCTAGCCACTCCCGACCACAGTAAAACGTCCCACCAGCCGGCCGGCAACTGCGCACACCAGCACCGATCGAGTCGCCCGACTGCAAACCGCCGCGCGGAGGGCAAGACCCTCCTCCGCGACCAACAGCGGCGCCCTGCCGGCCGCTGGCAATCGCCGCAGCTCGCACGGGCCGGGTCGCTCTGCCGGCCGCTGGTGACCGCAGCAGAGACCGACGGCGAGCCGCCGACAGACCGACGACCGACGGCACACAACACCCAACACAAATCGAGTCACCAAAAAGTGGTTACAAAAAGACGGAGCGCGCTGACGGCGCCGTGCGCGGCGGCGCGGCGGCAGCCGGGCGCCGCCGCTCGCCGTCTCTAAAACACCCTACGGATGGGGGCGGCCGGGGGCCGGTCAGCGCTCCTAGCCGGCCGGCCGGCGCCCTGACAGCTCACCGGGTCCGGCTCCGATGGCGGCGGCGCGGCCCGCAGCTCGGCCGCACGTGGCACGTGCACCGCGCCGTCACATGGTTCGGTATGGACGCTGCATCTTGAGGAACTGCAACGGGAACGACTCAGTCAGTCGCGACAGTCACAGAACGAAACGGGGAGCAGGGCAGAGAGCTAGGCTGACACCACTGTTACGCTATGACGTAGCATTAATACAGAGGGCTGCAATGCAACGTGGTTACGCTAGAAATGCCTCGCATACGTGTAACGTGATTAGCAACGCTATAAAGACCACCGCGCAGTCCATACCCCTTGAAAATGAACAAAACCAATCAAAGAAGCGAGAATAGTACTCTTCGAAACGAAAAAAAGAATATGCAAGGCTGAAGACCAATAAAAATATTAATCTTCAAAACGAAAATTTGACCGAGGATACTTTTATATTGAAGCATTTGAATGAATGCTCACCTTTGAAATGACAATATTTGCGAACGCATGATTGAACATCCGAACGTTACGGGAACCGCACAAAACAAAAGTTCATGATAAAATTCCACAGACACCCGAACTTTAAGCGAAATAGCGTTTATAATTTCGGCCTGCATCACCTACAGACTGCCGAATGGAGCCGCCGCAGCTGGCGGCGAGGACTGACCTGTATGACGAGGCTGGGCCCGGCGGCCACAATCTCGGCCGGTATCTGGGTGAGCGGGCATCCCTCCAGGTTCAGCACCTGCAGACTGGAGCACAGCACCAGCTCGTACGGCAGCCCGTGCAGGCCCGGGTTGTCGTTGATGTGGAGCGCCTTCAGCGACTCCAGGTTGCCCACCTCCTCCACCAGGTGCGACAGGTTGTTCTCGCCGGCGCTCAGGTACTCCAGGTTGGTCAGCAGACTGGCAGACAGACAGATATAACTTGTTCTTATATCTATCTTATATCAGAGAGACACGAGGAGATGCTGTAAATGCCACTCAGTTTTCACCGCAGAACACAATCGGAAACACTGACGGAGCGCAAGGTGCACCGTGCTGTCGCAAACTCCTAATCATTACAATACATCTGACGCCTTGTTACACATTCAGTGTAACGTGCTCACCCCTAGGCAGTGCAGTTGGACAGTTGCTTGCAGTACCAGTAACCCCTTCCCCCCCCCCCCCGCCACACACACACACTCACCCTATGGCCCTTGATAGCGCCGTGAGACAGTTGCTCTGCAGCACCAATATCCCCCTCCCCGCCCTCACTCACCCTATAGCTCTGGGCAGCGCCGTGAGACAGTTGCTCTGTAGTACCAGCCGCTGCAGCTCGCGCAGGTAGCCGATCTCACTGGGCAGAGTCTCCAGACGGTTCTCCTCCAAATCGAGCAGGCGCAGCTTACGGAGACTGCCCAGCGTCGGCGGCAGGCGCTGTGGGTCAGAGACACGGCAACTCAGCACCATAGCACTAAGGAGAACAGTGGGTCCAGCAGGCGCAGCTTACGGAGACTGCCCAGCGTCGGCGGCAGGCGCTGTGGGTCAGAGGGACGGCAACTTAGCACCATAGCACTAACGAGGACAGTGGGTCCAGCAGGCGCAGCTTACGGAGACTGCCCAGCGTCGGCGGCAGGCGCTGCGTACACAGCATACACCAGCCCGTCAGTGGAGACCAGCAAAGAAGGCACAGGTACACAACGACGGGACGAAATCAGACAGGGCTACACGGAAACGTCTCCTCATATTTATAGGCATTACCAGCCAAAGTGTAGTGATTCTCTTTTATATCATTACTTGTTGAAATACTTGTCAACAGCTTTGGCAGATCCGATTAGCTATCGCTTAGACTGTGTGATATAACAATGCCGACATGGTTCGCCATCTACAATGACCGGGCAGTATGAACTCTGAGCCTCAGCCTGTCTCTGTGTTCTGGGGTCCCGCGGGCACCTTGCCCGCCCCGCTTTCCACTGACCTTGAGCAGGTTGTTGGAGAGCACGAGCACCTCGAGACTCTGCAGGTGCTGGATGTCGTCTGGCACCTTGGTCAGCTGGTTGGTGCCCAGGTTTAGCTCCACCATGTGCTCCCAGGTGCCGATGTCCATCGGCAGCGCCGTCAGCAGGTTGTCCTTCATGTTCAGCTTGGTCAGGTGCCGCGCCCGCGAGAAGATGCCGTACGGGATCTTATTGATCTGGTTGTGCTCCATGTTGATCGAGTCCACGTTTGTGAACTGAGATAAGAAAAAGCACCAAGGGTGGTGAAAAGGCAAATCGAAGGACGAGAGCATCACACACACACCACGGAAAACGCTGGAACCACATCACTGTACGACGAGAACACTGTGCACACACGTGTACCCGCGAAGGTGCCTGGGTCAGCGGCCAGTCAATCCCCTACCCATAAATAAACGTACCCCGTCTCGGCTACCAGACTTAGAGGCGTCCCTGCGTTCGCTGGCTGACTATTCCCCCTCAGAGTATGGGCGCACCTGGGCCGGTCCGCCGACCGGGAAGCTGGTGAAGCAGTTCCTGGCGAGCGTGACGCTGGTCAGGCTGTTGAGCGCCGACAGCAGGCCCTCCGGCAGGCGCGCCACGCTGTTGCCCTCCATGTTGTACTGCTCCATGTGCACACACTTGGCCAGCGACTTGGGAATCTCCGACAGACGGTTGTACCTGGCCGGCCGCAACACAGCAACGTCAGTCATCTCATATTAGTTAGATCTTATTACAGATTTACGCTTCAGATTTTGAAAGGCGTAAACAGCGCCAACATTGAAACAGAAAGTTAACATGACAGTACAGTAGCGAACTTATTTTGTTGCTAAAGGAAGAACTAATCCTCCTCAGGATATGCCCAACGCTAGCACCCGCCACCCACCACTTCCTTTTCCAAACCTACGTCCTAAAGGCTCACGAAAGCATCGTTCTTTCCTCACCGACCTCGGTACCGGCCTGTCCCTCACCATTGACGTTTGAGGTGGGGGACAGATCACCGTAACTCTCCCGTCCCCGTCCCCACGTCTGCTCTGTATCAGGACCTTCCATCATCGTCCATCAGCCGTCTCCCCCATACAATTACAACCGACCTCTGTCCCATCCCGCCCCTCTGTCCACGGACCTGAGCTCGAGCCGGGTGAGTGCGCGGAGGTTTCCGATCGACTCCGGAATGTCGATCAGCTCGTTGTGCTGCAGGTCCAGGGTAGACAGGCGCACGCAGTTGCCGATAGCCTCGGGCAGGTGCTCCAGGTGGTTGTGCGAGATGTCGAACGTCACCAGCTTCACCAGCCGTCCCACGCCGGCCGTTAGCTCACGGATCTTGTTCTCGCGCAGACTGAGCATGGTCAGGTTCTACGGGGAAGGGGAACACCAGGACGACCGGTCAGTCGCAGCAGTATAACAGTCACGGACTCAACGGTCAGCTTAATCACCAACAGCGGCCATTCAGCGGAGATTGTATGGCACTCATACAATATTGTATCAGTTACAGAAAACTAGAGAAACCATTGGATCCCAAAATACGTCATCTTAACGGCCATTGCTTTTCAATGGTGATATCATCATACAAAACACAGACCAGCAGTCGAACATATTCGCTTTGGACTACATATAGGTAAGTACGCATGCATATGAATGTCTTACCACAAGGTTTTGTATGTCGTCTCCGACAATTTTCACCCTGTTGAACCTCAGGAACAGCGTCGTCAGACTCGTCAGCTGATAGACAACGTCCGGAATCTGCCGATGGCACATTGCAAATGTCAGCGATTACAGCGAAAACCACAAAAAAATCATTTTCATTTGAAAATGCCGTTTTCAATATAATTGGTTTACACATTTTCTACATCAAGCCCCACCAGCTCGGACCATTCGCGCCGGTCGCCAGGGCCGTACCTCGTGCAGTTTGTTGTGCCTCAGATCGAGGACGCGCAGCGCGCGCAGGCCGGCCAGCGAGTCGGGCAGGCTGGTCAGCGAGTTCTCGTTCAGCGCCAGCGTCTGCAGGCTGGTCAGACAGCCCAGTTCGGCCGGCAGCGTGGTCAGCTTGTTGCCGTACAGGTAGAGCTCGGTCAGGTGCGTCAGATCGCGCACCGTCGCCGGCAGCTGGGTGATCTGGAGGCACAGGCGGGGTAACCGATGTGACGCAGGGAGCCCGGAGCTGGGAAGGTCAGAACAGTTTAAATTCGTGTCATGGGCAGGAAATAAAAAAACTGCACGCGTACTACAACCATTCACCAAATATCACGTTCGAGAGCACTCGACCCGGATAAAATTACACAAATGCGGCGCGTCGGACTCACGTTGGACTTGCTGAGGTCGAGTCGCTTGGTGCCCTCGTCGCGGCAGCGGGTGAACTCCTTGCTGAGATCGATGTCCGACTGGACGGGACGCGCCTTCTTGGTGGACGTCGGCTTGGCCTTGTTCGACTCGGCCATTTTGACGGTGACCACCTTGGGGCGGCTGGCGTCGGCGGCCGCTAGCGAGCTGGACGAGAGCTTCTTCTCTCGGAGCGCCGACGGCGCCGGCCCATCAGAGGTGGCCATCTTCTCGGCCGCCGAGCCGCCCTGAGACGGCACACGGGAGCTCGTGATAACACGGGGAACGGTCACAGCACCGACACCCACAGAGCCGCCCTGAGACGGCACACGGGAGCTCAAGATAACACGGGGAACGGTCACAGCACAAACACCCACACAGCTGCCCTGAGACGGCACACGGGAGCTCGTGATAACACGGGGAACGGTCACAGCACCGATACCCACAGAGCCGCCCTGAGACGGCACACGGGAGCTCGTGGTAACACGGGAACGGTCACAGCACCGACACCCACAGAGCCGCCCTGAGATGGCACACGGAAGCTCGTTGGTGGTAACACGGGGAACGGTCACAGCAGTAGCATCAACACCCACAGGGGAGATCGAGAAGCAGAGGAGACCTGCCGCCTCCGCCCTCCACACTCAGCACCCTGTGTCACAGCATCACTGTTATGAGTGCCCAAATGCTACCTAATTGCAAGTCAGGGATGCCAATTTGGCTATCTCAACTCAAAACTAACTAATGGTAAGGTGGGATGGTTACTTTAGGTCAGTGCATGACCTAAATGTGACCACTCACCTCTCCACTCCAGTCGACAGCAGTGGCACCCTCCTGGCTGCGTGACTTGCTGATCTTTCTCATTGCGCAGCAGATGTACACATATTGTTCTTCCCAATTCAGCCAGAGAACAGATAGCACTCAGCAGTGGAACAATCCTGAGAAAACATAGCAAATCAATAGTCTAATATTGAAAAAGAGGCTTCTGAGTTCTGGGGCTCAGCCACAGGGCACAGGCACTGGGAAAGGCAATGGTTCCCATGGATTTTATTGAATCTGAATTTTATGGGCTTTGAAAGTGTAAGAGCATTCCTATATCTGTCAGAAAACCATTCAGTAGTAGGTAGCTGTCAGTAGCTCCATGATAACGTAACAGTTATAACTGCAAAGGCTGCTGAGTGCTGATCATCACAAATGAGTTTAACATTGGAGCCTATGGGCATTGGGTGCAGACTGCAGTTGAATGCTGGCTTGCTGAATGTGGAAATGCAACCTTGCATGTGAAACAAAGTGGAGCTCTTCAGCAGCAAAACTGTTGCCAAGATACTGATACAAGGTGACCACCTTTCCAAATCATCCACATATAACTTTCTGAAACTTTGATACTTCCAGCAATCCAGCAATAACGCATAAAATCTGTACTGATACAGCACATGCCCACCTCACCCAAAAGGTAATATCCATGCTGATGGTTACCAATTACTTGTTTTCAAATTCTTATTATAATTTTAATCAGTGGATGGTTATTAGTTGACAATCTCAACATTCCAGGATAAACATGATGCTCATTTTTTATGAGTACCTATTGTACCTAGTGCAGATGCACCATTTATTTCAACCTCTGCCTGAGGTCCCACAATTTAACACTGACACCCTGTGAACGCTGCAGAGCGACCACTTAAGAAATTAGTGTGTCCCTACTCACAATGGGTTCCATTCCTTTCCATATGAACTAGGGTTGTAGAAAGTAGAAACCTAACAGCGGAGTTTTAACAGGTGAGGACAGCTTAAGGGATTTATTCATATAGGTACCAATGGGGGCAATGCTCATTGCTCACAAAACCAAATAGATTACCTGGATACCACTTTGACTTTCCAAAGATGAAAAACATAATGGATCATTCATATCAAAGGGATTAAATTGTAAATTTCCATTAATGCTCAATTTTTCTTATCAGCTTCAGCTTAGGGAATGCACGGCTGCCACCCACTCTGCATGCTGCACTTTTCACCCTCTAGGCTGAGGCAGTAGGCCATAGGCGGCGGAACGGGGAGGGCACCACAGCAGAGCACCATGCCCTTTGATTTTGGCATCTTAACATTAGCAGTATGGGCGTTGCATGGAAAGAATGGGACCAAAAGTTGGCGCCCCCCCCCCCCCCTCTAATTGAAGGTGTTCCGCCGCTACTGCTCTAGGCCAAGGCCAAAACCACAATTTCACTTTGTCCTTAGGAATGAAGACATACAGGAAACTCAGCTATGTATAAAAGAGGAACACCACTAACCTGTGAAATCCACTCTATGATAGCCTTGCATCAGGTTTCACGTCAATAACTTGTAAGATTATGTACTTTCCAAACCGAAACGACTTTCCTCGGTTTTCGTTTCCAATCTGCGCTCATCTGCGCTTTTCGCAAACTGCAAAGACTTTTTTTTTTTTTTTTTTTTTTTTTAGTGGCCCTAACTTACGTTACCGGCCTCGCGAGGAGGGCGGCGACCTAACTACGCCGCGCAAAACAAACCGGCCGTCCTAACTAAGACCGGTGGCCACTTTTACAGCAAGACAACATGGGAAAACCCATATCCATATACTATGCCATGAATATGGGAAAAAACCCATGAATTTACGTTAAGACACATAAATGACAGTGAAACTTACCGGTAAATTGATGTTTGTGAAGGGAGGGAAGGAGGAAGTTTGTGAATGGTAAGGTTACGAGAGTTTGATGACAGGAATGGTTTGAAGAGTGGGGGATATGTCGCTGGGAGGGATGGGGTTTGTGAATGTTTAAGCGTCACGATGAAAGGAATGGTTTGGAGGATGGGGAATCTGTCGCTGCTGCAGTTGGCGGCCGACGGTTGTCTGTGGTCGTTCAACCCGGCCGCCGCCGCTGTTCAGCGGCCGGGGTCCGCTGGTGTAGCTCGCTGGGCCGCTGAGCCTCTAAGCCTGCTCCAGCGGCAGGAGAAAACCCGTCTGCCACCGAAGCTCTGTGTTTCGGCACCAGCGAAAAACCCGACCCATCCCGTATCACAAGTCAGCCTGGTGGTAGCGAAACGGGCGCCTGCTAACAGTCAAGGCCGTTAAAGTAGCTCTGAGTAGGGTGATGTTAGGACGAAATCAAGTACCAGGTTTGTCAATGTTGTGTCGTCCCCGAGAAGCGTCGGGAGGTCGTTTTTAAGGTGTTGTACCGCAAGATAGTTAGTGATGTGTCTTCGTTCGTGATGCAATGCCGTGCATGCGATCAAAATGTGCTCTACGGAGATGCGTGTGTCGCAGGTGTGGCAAATCGGAGGGCCCGTCCTATCAAAAAGGTGGCCATGGGTGAGGCGAGTATGACCACACCTCAATCTGGCCAGGGTCACCTCGCGTATCCTGTCTGGTTGGTTACATGTGACCCATGTTCTAAGTTCTCGTTTGATCGCATACATATGTGCAGCATGATGTTGGTCCCATTTGCGTTGAAGGTACTCGGCGAATTTGATTTTTATCATATGAATAGCGTCCCCTTGGGCCATAGGTTCCACAACTGGATCAGGTCGCATTGCAGCCTCCTTTGCGAGGACATCCGCACGTTCATTTCCTGCAATACCGTAATGACCTGGAACCCAAAGAAGGGTCACATGCTGGCCCTCATTGAGATCTGATGTGATCCTGAGAATATTGTAGATACCGTGGTGGGTAACATTATCGGTCCTTTCCAGTGCTTGAAGAGCGGATTTCGAATCAGTACAGATGGTTGCCCGATCAATCTTTTCTGCCTTGATGTGCTCCATAACTTTTTCGATTGCGTGAACTTCGGCACTAAAGACTGTCGCAAATTCTTGAAGCCGGGTCCCAAACCTAAGCCCAGGGCCGACGGCTGCTGAACCTATCTGATTTTCGTGACATGAGCCATCTGTGAAGAAAAAAGCAGAGTCGCAGTTGAGCTCTACATACTCCTGGAAGAGCATTTGAGCTTCCACCGGAGGTATACTGGTCTTCTTATAATCAAAAAGAAATTCAATGGATAGGTCTTTGAGGAGCCAAAATGGAATCATAGGAGGATTTAGAGTAACTTCAGTGCGCCTAATGTTTAGCAGTTGATGAGCTTGCTCAAGGCACCCGGGTAGAAAGCACGATCTACGCAGTGGGCGTCGGGTTCTTGGTTTCCTCGCCTCCATTGCTGGTACCGCAATGTGATTTCGAACACTTTTTGCTCTGTAGTAATAGCGGAGGAAAAGAAAGACGCGTCGGTCATCAAGTGCTGGAATGCCGGTATCTGCACGAAGCGCAAGAACTGGCGATGTGCGAAAAGCCCCAGTTAGAAGTCTCAAGCACGTTGATTGAACGGCTTCTAGACGTTTGCATAAACTGGGCGACAGTGTGCTAAACAGATAACAATTGTACTCAATCGTAGATCTGATTAGCCCAATATACAACATTTGCAATGTTTTCCTGTCCGCACCCCAAGAAAACCCACATATGCATCTTAGGACATTGATTCGTTTAATACAACGTGCTCTTAGGTGCTCAACGTGTTGACGGAAGGTTAGATTAGTATCCAAAATGATCCCTAGAAATTTGTGTGACGTGGAAAAAGGTATTTTAATCCCATCGATGTGTAAAGACGAACGCTTTTCAGCCATTTGTCGCAAAAGCGCCAGAGTACTAATGTTCAGGGTGCGTTCGTTGGACATGCCTAAGAGCTGGACTTTTTGCACGCGTTCCCCGCCAGGGGGCGCCACTGAGGAAGCACCCTCTGACGTCACGATAAAACTGCGCGCACTGTGCGCACGGTTCTGTAAGCAAGTAATATAGTGGTGGTTTCATGGTGGAAATTAGAATAAGTATTTTGACGTTGTAAAATTTCAAGCCGTTTTTGTGAAATTTATTACTAAATGCATTTCAAAAGTATTTATTTAAAGTGTGAAAGGAGAATAATTAGAAGAACATGCATATTTTTGCTCCAATAGCTTATTATGTGAGACATGATCGGTACTAACGGGTACTTCTAAGAAGTAGTGAAGAAGTACCAAAGCGCCTGCTCGGCTACGATCGTCAGCTGTCCTTTGGAGCTGGACTTCAACGCTGTAAAAAAAATATGTGCTGAATTTATTTTTAGTTTCACCAAAATATAAGCAATTTATCATTTCCTTTTCACTTTTGTAATTATTGTTGAGTGAAGAGACATGTTGCTAGTTCTGACAATATAAATTATTAACTAAAAAAACGAAATGCGACGGTAAGTATCTGCTACTAAATTATCACTTTAACCAAATACATGGAGAATCTTGCTACCATTGCTTATAAAACGTGCTTATCAATACACAAATGTTTTATTTCAGACAAGAAGGATTTATTTGCCTGAAGTCTTACGTCATGTGCTACTGCTTTGATTCCAAAGACGCTCTCCGGGTCGGGGTAATTTAGTTCTTCATCGATCGATAAGAGATTTTGATTCCATTGATATCCAAATTGATAAGCTCGGCACCATGGAGTAAGGGCGTCCCCACAGGGGTGACGCAGGAAATATGAATGGCGTTTACACCGACAGTAGTTTCCCACAGCCGGCAATGGGAATCTCCTGTCGGTGTAAACGCCACTATAGTCCCATCCAACTCAAACACTGGGGAATATCCCCGCACTTTTGAGGACGGAAATCTATGGACCTGCTCGAAAAATAGTGGATAAAATACGGCGAGCTTTCAGTTTTATGGTTGGGTCTCCCTTCCGAGGCACATATTTACGAGGGATATTGGGTCATATTCCCCCGGCGTCCTGATGATCGGCGCCCAGCTCACCGTCGAAGGCGCCCTGATACGCGGCACTGCTATCTGTGAAGGTGCCCAGGTTGCTGCCGCTCGAATTTTGGTCGCCTACTTAACAAAACCTCCGTTGGTGCCATCTCAGTTTCCTCGAGGTCAGGCAACCTTCACACGCCGTTGGCTACCTTGGCTGGCCGGCGACTCGTTCCCCTCGTGGCGACGCTCTTGACATCCAGTCAAAAGTTGGAGTGGCTGGCGCCCCCAGTGGGGGCCGGGGAAGGGGCAGTGGGCCTCCACGTTGCTCTCTTCCCGAGCCTATGGTGACTTGGCTCAACTCTCCTCAATAGAATCTGGATTCTGCACGCTGTATGAACATGGGCGTATTGTATTGTATTGTATTGAGCAATCATGAGCGATCCACATTCTGAAAGTGCGTGGCGATTACTGCTCAGACACCACTACGGACAATACGGACAGTGGGTGTGACAATCAGTAGTGCCATTCATATAGAGGGTGTCATATATGAGCGGAGAGGCAACAGTACAGCTGAGCGGAGAGACAACATTAAAACAACAGTACAGCTGGCGTTGCATGGAGCTGCAGGCAACCGGACAGCGGAAGCTTGCGAAAAATAAACAATTTGTCACTTCAACGTATAAACAATAGTATAAAAAGCAGCATAAACACATATTCTCATGGTCGAACCCATGCACTAGCGGCTCACGGCGGGCACAGGCACGCAGTGCGGTAGCGGTACCGGATCACACGTCATGGGCGTTGTCTCAGCATAGTTTGTTATGAGCGGAGAGGCAACAGCACAGCTAAGCGGAGAGACAACATTAAAACAACAGTACAGCTGGCGTTGCATGGAGCTGCAGGCAACCGGACAGCGGAGGCTTGCGAAAAATAAACAATTCGTCACTTCAACGTATAAACAATAGTATAAAAAGCAGCATAAACACATATTCTCATGGTCGAACCCATGCACTAGCGGCTCACGGCGGGCACAGGCACGCAGTGCGGTAGCGGTACCGGATCACACGTCATGGGCGTTGTCTCAGCATAGGTTATTCGCAATCTAGTTGAAGCCTAAGAAGACGGCCAGTGGGGTCTCACTGCTGCTGAGGCGACCTCGGAGACGATGCGTCGCCCTTCCTGTCGGCGACCTGCGGTGAGCAGGACTCCAGATAGCTGTCTGGCACGTTGCCGACACTGCCAGACGCTGTCAGCAGGCCTCACTGCTGCAAGTGATGTGCAGATGGACGCCAGGTGACTTCGTCTGCAGGCGATTCCGGAGACCGCGGCCTCACCAGGCAGCGCCACCTGCATCGCCATGTCGGTGTTTCTAGAAATGGAAAAATAACAGTATCGGCGAAGGACAAGCAATACAATGTATTCTGTTTTCCTCTCTTGCAGGTATACGTAATCTACAATTATCATTGTTCCTATTTCATTCAACGGAACCTGAAAATTCCATATTGGCACATTGTTTGATTAAATTTGTGTAGTTGGGAACAGGGGCGACGCCACGGTGCGACGACTGGAGGGGACATTGACCATTTTGGAGGGGACGAGGACCATTTCAAGTCGATTCTTTCCATGCAACGCCATAGGCGTAATGTTAACATTTTAAAAAGTGGAGGGGACGAGATCCCCTCCGTCCCCCCCCCCCTGTGGTGACGC